CTTACTAAATATATCCTGATCCCGATACAGTATTTTACTGAGATAGCTGTAAGATATATATCTTGATTCTTGCAGTCATTTAGGCAATGTCGACATACCCAAAAATTATAAGCCACCAAATAAGGTTCGGACTTTCTAAATTGCTTCTAGTACTCAGCATTATAATTGTCAAATCGATTGCTTTTTATCGTCGCGCCACCCACGAAACAGTGGCATAGCCAGCATCGAAAATGGGGGGGGGGGGCATTATTCATATATATTCATGTTAGTAGACTGTAAAGACAATTGATTTGAAAAGAGATTAATCCTGCGTAACACGAATATATGAATGTGGGCTCTCAATTATCGTGCTGGATACGCCACTGCAACGAAAATATGAACTTAGGGTCTGTTCATGTATGGGCAAATGTTTGCGACCAACCAAATTATTTTGTTCTGTTAATATGGGAAAAATTTATCAAGCATTCCCCCCGCATACCGGGTAAGGTTTTCAGCTGTGAGGTATTCCTGGTTTGCGTAAGTTAAGACAAATTATTAAAAATTTGAAAAGTTGCTGACTAGACAGAAAATCACACCCGTAAGCGGGCGAATTTCGTTCATATCAGGAAAATATTCTCCCGCTTGCCCAGATCTCCCCTTTATCAAGCAAAAATCTCAATAATATTAATTGTCAATACGACGATATCTCGCTTGAAAATTTGCTGAAAGTTTCCACGCTAAGCGGAAAAACCGTTGCATATTGAAATGAATTTGAAGTGAATTTATTAACCTTAACTCTTTTTGGTAACCTGTGTTCTGTGAGGTTAAATTGGAAAGGTTCAAACACGATATAGCTATGTAAAAATAAATACACTTTATATATAAGCCTCAGAATGGCCATTTCACAGTTGTCAGGGGTCGGTTGAATAAAAGTTAAGCATAGTTAATTAAGGTAAAAAAAAATTAGTTCGCTTGTTGAATAAAACGATAGACTTGCTTTCTATTTTGAACTTATCCACCGTTTATGCTAAACGGGCTTGATACAACCGGCCCGTGAACTACAGTTAAAAGTTAACTATATAGTCTTTCATACAACGGCCCCAGATGTGTATCATTTGTGAAGAGCCGTCAAAAGATGAAACCTCATTAACACCAAATTCACCGTTACACCTTGATCATTTTGCCCTCAAAACAATTGAAGTAATCGGTCCCAAATGAGTTACCTTTTATAACTTTATAATAATGCATATAATCATTCAGGATGTCGTCGGTATAATATATAGTAGTGAATAAGTTCATGGTAAAATTTATCAATATTGAATAATTGTAGACCTTTCCTTAATTTCCGTCCATTCATATTTGCCTAGACCAAGCCACGTTGGCCAGTCGAGTGTATCTACACAAGTATGATAAACCAGGATCAAACATGGTTTATGTATCGACCAATTCTCGAATGCTGTTACAAATGTCGTAAACCATATCACCAATGCTTGAAAAAAATCCACCCTTGGTTCTGCTATCGTGAGGCCTTCGCTTGCTCAACAAAATGCATCGCAAAATCTTATTGGCACGATAAAACAATACCGCAAAACACAGCTCAAATTCTACGAAACTATCCAATGGACAGTTTTTATTCGAAAGAATCATCAGAGGTGATTTCAAGCGGTGATTACCAGTCCTCGCCCGCGATTCGCCCCAAGCTTCCATGCATGGGCCACATGTGTTATGGTGAACTGTGTTTCCGATCTCAGTTGTGCTACGAAGTTGAAAAGCGGTATTTGAAAAATATACCACAGGTGTTGAACTGAGAATCCTGATCCACGTGTGAAAGTATGTTGTAAATTATTCATCTCGACGACTGACTGCGCATGGTGTTATGAAGACAGAAACTATTAGTCGTTAACTTTTGAAGAGCTGGTAACTTAACACCACTGATTATTGTCTTGAGTTTATTAGTGCAGTAGTTTCTTTCAAAAGTTTTTTATGTATTTAGATTGACTGTATTGTGAATACAAAGTTTCAAAAGAGCTGTTTTAAAGTGTTTGAATTGATTAAAAAACTTTGATTAAACCTTGCTATAGTATTCATACATATATAAAAGGGAAATCTCTGTAAAAAATGTTCACGGCTCCAAAGGTTCTAATTTTATTGATTTTCCTGCATTTTTACCATGGTTGAAATTAACTATCACTATCCACTGGATGTGATTCTCCCCAGACCCCAGGTAGGAAAATTTTTCTCGCCGACGCACATCAAAAAGCGTTCGCGACCAAGGAAACAATCGCTCAAACTTAAAAACAACCGATTAAAACACCGTCAATTGCCCGAGCAAGGCTGGTACGGCGTATTTTGGAATTAAACTGAAGGATTTAGTGTTATATGATAAAAATATACGAAAACCGAACGCCGAGAGTTTAAAGTTAGATCACATACAGCGGTTCAATTGAACACCGAGTTTACATTCATGCATGCATGTAGCGTAACCACCCGACGACTTAATTATCTGTAATACTTTGTGGTGTTTATTCGGCCTCGTCCCCAGTCGCTTGCAATTGCAAAAATAGAGATCAGTGACTGTGAGGAAAGCTGTGGCCGCTCGGGAATTAAGAACTTAAAAATAGCATAGTTGAGCTAAATTCTCATGCTGAACTGAAAATGTATATTATTACGCTGTTTTCATTAAGATTCGAAGCTATCACTTATAGAACCCGTTTCCACTTGTTTTATTTATTCAGCTTGGTTATTACTCTACGTTATTTTTCAATATAGCAATATACATATTATTACTATAGTAATAGGGAGAACTGATCATATAATTATATAGCTAATACTACACGGCTATTTGCAAGAAATTAATTTTCTTAAAGCAGTTTTATATCCTGCACGAATTGTTTTGTCCCCAATTCCATACACGATCGGATTGAATGAACAAGATACTAGCAGATACATTGGCAACGCCCATATCATGTGAAATTTGTCTTCTTCTCTTCCATGAGCTACGAGTTTACCCAACACAGATATTGGTATTACAGCAATGAAGAACTGCGCTAGAACAATCATACTCACAATAACCATTTTGAAATTGTTCTTCAAACGCAAATGGTAATGTTTGTTGGCTACTGACTTTCCGCTAATGTTAGTAGAGTTTGTCACTTCTGGAGCAAATAGTCGGCGTAGATTTCTCTGATGACGAGCCATGATAACACATCTTCGTATACAGAACAGTAAGAAATATCATGGGTATTAAAGTACAAACGAGACTCAAAACCCAATCAAATATGTAATAGTATATGTTCTTTTTCCATTTGTTTGTACATTCCCGACCTACAGTTTGTTTCGACAAGAACGTTGGGATATTGATAAGAAAAGGTGCAATGTAAATTAATGTTATGGTATATTTCAGCTTCTTGACGGTTACATTCGGCTGAAATGGCTGTGCGATAGCCCTGTGGCGAAGAATTGCGATTATAACTAGGAGGCCTAGTTCAGTAGTAAAGATAAAACTGACAATGGGTTGAATGACAGTGCAGGATAACTCCCAAAGAGGACTAGACCAGTAGCGTGTTCCCAACCAAGGTCCTATTGTGAACAAAACATTGCCAAACAACAGCAAAATTATGCTACAGACAGCAAGATGGAATACAAGACGATAATAGTTTGTTTGGAGACGATGCGTCCCACTGCAAACCGTCAATATAACAAGAATGTTACCACACAGACCAAACACTTCAATAATTCCATACACGATTGAAATGATTAGCGAATTGGAAAATGTTGTTGCCACCACTTGAACGTTTTCGTCAGTGTGGTTACCGTCGACATATGGTGTCATCATCTTGCTCGTTCGACTTCACGCACAACTGTAAAGCATGCCGCGTAAATGCAATTATACTTTGGGGCTCTTCTTTAAATGTACTGACAAGTTCAGTAAATTATTTATTGGAGTAGCTGCATTTTAATCAAACCTAATGTTTGAAATTGTAATTTTAATTTTCCAAAAGCACACATCGGTGTGATCCGGAAATGAAATGACAACTGAGCGTAAACAAGACAAAACAAATATTTTCCAAATATCTTCGAAATTAAATTGATTATATTTGGGGATATTTTATGCTTAGGAGATTTTGTCTGGGCGGCTTTAAAATGAGTTTGTTTAACTGCAAGGTGATTTTTACAATTGAAAACTGATTTAAAAAAGTAATTACAATAGTGCACAGTATATTTAGACTCTAAATTCATTTCTAGATGAGTATTTTTCTCATCCAATGGAAATAATACGATAATTTGTCATTGGATAATTTTGGGGAGAGCTGCTTCCAATGCAGCAATATTTAAAAAAAACAAGGCTAAAACTCACTTTTATTGTTGCGTACTGTTGTTAAAACATTTGTTTTTTATCATTCACGGCGGTGTGTAAGTGACTATATCTCCTCAGCTTCGCTGTGTCAACGGACGAGTGCATGAGTCAGTGTGTTTCCTTATTCTTTGAAGTGGCTCTTCTGAAACCGTTATGTTGATAGCTCTAGGGTTTAGCTATAGGGTTTCATTAGCAATGGTAGTTTACAACTGTCAACAGTGTAAGTTGCATTTTAAGGGTACTGGCCTTTTTATGGAAGGGGGGGGGGGGGCGTTGGAAGACTAGTTAGACTCAGATAAACATTTGACTTGGCCCAAGTCATGGCGCGCAATCATGGGTGGTGACGAGTTTCCAGATTCCAATTTAAAGCTTAGAAATCGCAAGAGACGTAGAGACTTTGGGATGGGAGTGTTATCCTGACTACAGTGCAAACTACCACTAATTATTCCAAACTTTTGTCCAGGAAGCAAGCTGCTCTTCCTCCTTTGTATCCCCCTCATAGCTTGATTCTTCAGGATAAGGCTTGGAGCCCTGGGGTCAGTTGTATAAAAGACTAGTTAACCTATAAGTCTATAACTGTAGTTAAGGACATAAATGGCCAATCAGATTCGTATAATTCTGAGTTAACTATGATTTAACTATGCAAAATGTAGTTAAAGAGTTTATACAACCGGCCCTTGGTTCACTAGGAACGGGCGATGTTCAAATGTCACGCACAATCCACGCATCACGCGTGGATAAGTATGTGTTTAGCATGGCGAGCAATAGAAATGATAATAGTACTATTCGTTGTCGTAAAAATATTGAAAATACGCACTCAACACCAGGGGAAGTTGAATCGGTGCCAAAGAGAACATTCAATACAAGTGAAACACGATCAGATCATCGAGAAAATAGCGTTTCATCTGGCACATACTGGCTCACGAGGATTGTCTTTCTCCGCTCGCTGGCCTTTGTTTATTGTGAGTTTGCTTATGGTTTATAGACTTCGTATTCTTCTACCTTGCTTTAAACCCGGGTTACACTATGTATCTTTGGTAATCCAACCGATTTGAAATACTGCTAAAACCCCTTCGTTTCTCTGATCTTATTAAGATTGATCATCAATTCATCATCAATCATCAATGTACAGCGGTATAATTCCAAAGACAATGACTTGGCTTCACTATAAAGTTGTATATCACAACTGATTTTCACAACTGATTTTCCAGTTGTTGTTTTTTATCTGAAGTCTTGTGATGATACATTAATTTGTTTCTATCATAAACATGAATGTTCAAGCAAACAAGTGTTCAAACTTTGTATTTTATCCTTGCCACTAATTCGAGTAAAGATTTTTATCAAATGAACAAGTATCCCAATAATAGCAACTGGCAATTATTGAAAGCCTCCTGTAGTAGGCTGCCTAGGCATCTAGAGTCAGTATTTACATTTCACAAAGTGCATGCAATGCCTGCATGTTCAAAAAAACAAGTGTTCAAACTTTGTATTTTATCCTTGCCACTAATTCAAGTAGAGGGTTTTATCAAATGAACAAGTATCCGAATAATAGCAACTGGCAATTATTGAAACCCTCCTGTAGTAGGCTGCCTAGGCATCTAGAGTCAGCATTTACATTTCACAAAGTGCATGCATGCCTGCAAATAGGGTGAAAATTACAAGACAACATGCGGCAATTAATGATTTCTCTCACACAACTAAAAAAGGATTAAATTTTATTAAACCAGCAGTTGATGATCTTTGCAATCATGTGGTCAATGGTGCTGCAAGACAGGGCTTCCACAATGCAAGGAAATTTCCTTGCAATTGGCAACCACAAGGGAGGGAGGGGTCTGTTTTAATATAATATTTTATGTATTCTTTTCAAAAGTTCTTTGTTTCTCTCTTTTATCATTGCCATCCCCCTAAGAGGACAGTCATATGCAAATAACTTGCGGAAAGGCTGCTGCAAGACAGCAGTTCTATTCAAAGTGCAAATTATATAAATGTGTTGAACCTACCTAGTGCAGGTTGTGAAACCTACAAAAAATTTTACCTGCACACAAGCCTAAAGCTTAGTAAACCTTTGTTTACACAGAATTTCTGTGTGTGTAGAATATGCCTGCCACACAACATGAATCATTTTTATAATTAAATCTTCCTCTTAGTTTTTGCATTCCTTGTGGCCTTAAACCAAAACAAACAATTACTCGGAGATGATGGACTTCTACCAGTACCCAATTTTCTTAACAAAGTCAGAAATTACTTTGGAGGAACATTTGGATTATCAACATTCCAAGCAGTACCATCATTGCTATGGGCTGTAAACCCAGCAAATATTAACCAATATTTGGATATGATTGCATACTGTGGAGCATTATTGTCATTGTTTGTATTCTATACTGGTTGCTGTAATATGGTTATTATGCTTACATTATGGATACTGTATCATTCATTGGTCAATGTTGGACAACTGTGGTAAGACATTTTCTATTATAACCTTTCAGCTAGTGCAGACTAAGCTAAATCAAAATAAATTACAACAGGTCAGCACATTTGGAGATAAGAACATTTTAAATTGCTTTTTAAATTATAATTCTAAGTTTCATAGTATATATAGTTTCGAGTGGAAATTCAAAACCAACAGCTGTGTTATTCTGGTATTTTGAAATCATGTGGGACTGATTAATTTATTTTGACTATAACATTAAATCATCCACTGATAACATCATGAACTGGATGATTCTGAAAAAGCCAATGTGTTATGAAAAAGATAGTTAATAGTTAGTCTGAGCTAGTATGCTAGCATGTTCAAACCAATGAACATTCCAAAGCTTTTTTGAAAAATTCTACATTTGAACTATGTATGTTTATTGAGTTGAACTTTTAATTCCTGAAGATGACAGTAAACACTCAAAATGATGATTAGACAAATCTTCAATCTCCAAAGTGTGTAAATGCATTGTTAGGGTTCTAATTTGCAAACAATTTCTCTAGTTTTGAAAACAATGGTGAAAACACTTCCTTTACATGGTGAAAACCATGAAAACCCTTCCTTAAATGCAACTTGCATACATCAATCAAATCACAATAGTGAATTATATATTATGCATAATTAATATACTTCTGTAGCCTAATTGCAACATTATAGTTGTACTTGAAATGTATTTTTGTGTAGACTTTATGGTCATCAATTTCATTCACATTTTCCCTTTTTTATTCTTTTATCTAGGTATTCTTTTGGTATGATAAAGATTTTGTTCTTTTGATTCATGTAAATATAGTCAAGTTTTTTTTCATTTGATTTCAAATATGTTGTGCATTTCAAATATGTTGCAACTCTCTAGGTAAAAATGATAGTTTTACTTTCAGTTTAAGCAAATTTATCAAAGCAGCAACAAAATTAGTTCTGAAATTTCATTCAACATGACCGCTTTACTGTAGCTCAATATGCAAAGCATGCCCAAGCGCACTACGGACTAGCAGCAACAAAGATTGCTTTTTATTCCACGTCGTCATTCATTAACAATTTGCTCGATTTCTGAAAGGCTTAATTGTACCAAGGATATCAAGTACCGGTTTTAATTAATACATATGCTCTTGAACACAACTACAGACATGAACTATATTTTTTTTGTATTTGGGAAGATTAAGTTAATGAAAGTTTGGTACCTGGTTGCCTTTCGTCAGCCATTACAAAGAGCCCTCGAGCTACAAAGAGCCCTCGAGCTTATAAGCGTCTTGACTTTGTGACCTGCTCACCTGCTACACGTCGCCAATGCTTCTAAATTTGCTAAGAACAAATTACATGAAAGCCAAAACTTGATTTCCCCGACATAAAAAGAGCTTTAGGGTAAAATATTTTCAGGATTGCAATGGATTCACATGTTGAAAATATGTTGATTTTTCGTGAGAGCAACAGACAATTCAGCACACTGCGCGTAACATCTGCCCATGCGCAAAAACGAGAAGGGCAAAGATTTAAATTTTTACCTGGAAATTATACAGGAAAACTATTACTAAAATTATTTTAGAACTTTACATATCTCTCGAATATTGGAGAACATTAGCCATAATAGATGTAGAGTTTTCGTCAGCATGAGGATCCAAACGTCATAGTTCAGAATTAGATTACATGCATAATATCTTATTATACCTCGGTAACAAAAATTGGTTCAAATGATAATGATCCTCTCACAATCTAAACACATTAGGAAATAAAAGTTTAATTATATCGTCCGGATAACTTTAGGAAAATCTTTCTACTACTTTGACACCTAACATGCTAATACTGTAAAAAAAAATTATATGAGCATATTTGCGATTTAGCTAAGTTATTAATTTTAATATTTTGTTGGTGGGACGGACAAACCACCACCCCCCCCTCCCCCAACTAAGATTTCTCAGAGGCTAGACCTTGAATGCCCCATACTCATACACCCCATACTCTTAGGCTGGATTTGCACCAACAGAGAAATAGTTCGCTAGCGAAATATTTGCATATTTTCTTTTGAATTTTAACTGACGGTGTGAATAATATACTTCAACTTGACTGTTATCAATTCAAAACCTTCAAACCTGTCTTGTTGATTTTTCCTTGTAATATTCACATGCACTGTCATCAATCCGTATGTTTACTTGCGTATATTCAGATCCCTAGATAATTTTCCTCCCAAGACTATAATATGTATCAATAAATAGGTAATTGTAACTCATTGTTAAAAATTGTTCATGTATGTTACAGGTTGGGAGTCGCAATTATTAGAGACAGGATTTCTGGCCATATTCTTATGTCCTATTTTGAAACTCCGTCAAATCCCTGAACAGACGCCGACCTCGTGGGTAGTAATCTTTGGCTACAGATGGCTTATATTTAGGATCATGTTTGGTGCTGTGAGTATTACGTGTGTTTTTTGTCTGTTCCAAACGTTCAATCCTTTCATGTGTGCAATAGACTGATCAACTGAAATAAAATTTCCATTGTGCCAGTTATATATGAACCTCAGTGATAAAACTTTATTCAAAATTTCAAAAAATTGGATTTGTTTGCGAATTTTCCCGGCCCCACTTTCCTTCCAACCAATGTTGAATATCCCGTCGTATTGGCTCTATACAGATTAAACCCAACATTGTCAAGGGAGAGGTGATTATACATGTGCATGTACACGTACGTGCAAAAAACGCGACAGTGGACGCTAGCCCTAATACGAAATACGTTTGACAACCATTTTCTCATCGGCGTACGGGAGAAGGGGGCAGGGGCACTTGCCTCCAAAAAATTTCCAGAATCAAGACATTCGGGCAAAGTTGAGCCGGAAAATTCGGGCAAACTGAAAAAAAGTTACACAGCTTAAAATTTTGAAACTAAATTTTGTAATATATATCACATATGTGTATTCTACTTGCCCATTTTTGGGGATACGCGGCATGGTCATTGATGGATAATTTCAAGTGGGACGATGGATATAGGTTAAGATTTGGACTGTACCGAGTACTCAGAAAACACGGACGCCAAAACTCTCTGCTTATTATTAAAAGAAAATCATTTTCCCACACTTTCTTCTAAGCACATCTGGCGCTTTCCCAAGTTTATTGTTACAAATCTCGTAAAAGTTAAAATTCGGGCAGATTGTATAATTCAAAATTTCGGGCGATTTTTTTGCCCCCCAAACAAAGTTCATGCATCTCCCGAATTTCTTCATGTCTAAAAAATAAGGCTCCCTACAGTCTTTCTTTCCTCATTATTCATCACAGCAATCAATAACAGCAATTAACGTTTTTTTAGGGAATGATAAAAATCCGTGGCGATCAGTGCTGGCGAGATTTGACTTGTATGAATTACCATTATCAGGTAAATAATTGTAGTTGATTTACATTTTAACATGCATGTCATGCTGTATATGATAATATGAATAGTGAGATTCGAGAAAGTTATCGTTGAGAGTTCAGAAACTTTAGATGTAAGTGCAATTCCTAAAAATAGCTAGATGTATTGCCTTTTTCATCGCTTAAGGGCCTGTTTACATGAAGCAGTTATCCCACGGCTAGGCGAGGTAAAAAGCGCATCACATCAAAGGCTCAACCTGATTAGTCTTTCATTATTTGCAGTTTTCACCTGGCCTAGCTGAGATAACTGCTCATATTTCATGGGCGATTTATCATTGCACGTGTCATAAAAAAAATTAAGACTGAATATTTGACCGTTTTTTATGCATTGGTTGAATTTTTTACAAACTTGATTGATCTTATTGTTGTAAGAAAAAACAATTCTAATCGGAACAGTATTCCATATAAAGACAGAATTTCACGAGCTTTTCTCTGACATCAGCAGGTATAGACAGAAAGGTCGTCTGAAAGTTAACTAATCTCATCTCCTACTTTGCGTCGTCTGAAACTCTAGGTCAAGGAGGAGTATGAAAGAAGACTTGATAAGGGAAAAATACAATATTTCGCTGCAGACGCTGTATTGGGGCTAAAATGAGGGGAGGGGGGGGGGGAGTTACTGTGCAAACTATACTACGTCAAACAACACTGAGGGAAGTGTTGTTATATTACCTTCTCTCATATTCCTCCTCAAGTTTTTCAACACCATGCAGTAGTACCCTTTCCTTCTTTTACCTCTATTTCTCTATGTTCCCCAAGGGTGGATTTTCACTTGCAGATAAAAAGTTCGCTAGCGAAATATTTGCATATTTTCAATTGAATTTTGACAGAATAAATGAATGAGTTTAGCTTGACTAGTTTAATTTCAAAAGAAAATAGGCAAATTTCGCTAGCGAACCATTTCTCTGCAAGTGGAAATCCAGCCTAATAATACTAACGTTCGTTTCTTCCGACAAACTAGACTCAACCAGTTCCTAATCCGCTCAGTTATTATTTCCATCAATCGCCTGAAGTCTTTCACAAATTTGAAACCCTCAGCAATCATTTCATTGAGCTCGTTGTTCCTTGGTTCCTGTTGCTTCCTGGTCGGCTTACAGTCGTTTGTGGCTTTCTTCAAATTATTTTCCAGGTAATTCGCGTTTAACTAATTGAAGGATTATATAGGATATAACAACTTCTAGTCACCAATCTTGTTTGACGCATTAAAAAAACAGATTTATATGTAAATAATTCCAATGATGTGAGGTTATGTAAACATTTCCTGGATATTTCCTTTGGTAATCTTCTTATAACGGATATTCAACGGAAATTTCAATCTATTTCTGATTCTCAAAACCATCTTTCAACGCAACACGTTATAGCGAATAGAGTTTAGACTTTGTTATAATCTGCTAAGAGGGAAAATAAGATATGCTAGCCTGTAATGACGTAGCATTTTATAAGACGTGCCACTGTGCATGAATGGAGACTGCGCAAGATAAAATGCATTGCCTTTGATGTATTTTGAAACGAATATGCCATTGGTACCAAAGTTTAAAACAGCAGACCAAAAGTCGTGAGGTCGTGCTCCACCTGACCTAGAATTTAGTGTATATGAATAAATAATGCTTAGTTCGGATGTTATTTAAAGTCAAAGCCTCAAACGCTAAGTATAAATATAATTGCAATATAGCTACTGTTACACTATCTTTACATATCCTTCCATAATTTTACATTAAGTAGTGAAAACAGCCATTTTAGGGTGGGAATTTGTAATGTGACTATGAATTTAAAAACGATTGCATTTGCACACTTTTCTATTATTATAAAGCTGTCATAAAACAATTATATACCATGTATGCGAATAATGAGTCATGTATATATGCGAATAATCTCGTCAAATACGGCGGGCTATATATGCATGTAACTGAATCGAGTTCGTCTGTTTCCCTAGATATACCGAACCAGAAAAATATATCGGGAAAATACAACCACTAGTGTTTGTAACTGATTTGCATATCTATTCAAATCTTATTTATTACAAAATCATTTCACAAGTACAGTATAAATAAATGTACAAATGTATATTCAATACAACACGGCCGCCGCTGTTGTAAACAATACGAATAACAATTAACACTGGGTGTTCTTAGTAGGCAAATGTTAATATATAGCGTTGTGGAAGCATTGGTCACTTTTCAATTGTTTTTTTTACAATTATTGAACTGTAGCTGTTACAGTAGCTGTTTCTTTTGGTCAGAAATCCAGGAAATTATTACAATGGCAATGCGCAGAAGCCGTAGATTGATTGATTCTCTTATTTTGTTGTAGGTCGTACTCATATTCAGCGGTAATCTTAGTTTCCTCAACTGGCTGACAATCCTTCCCAGTATAATGTGCTTTGATGACAAAGCACTCGCCTGGTGTTTCCCAGTCTCATCGCATGCACGAAGACAAGTGTGCAAACTACAGAAGTTACATCTTGATGGAAATTCACGGAGGCCTTCAAAAGGTACGAAATTAAGGCATCTGTGCGAAAAAGGATCTTCTAACAAGCCAAGCATCTCTAAAATAACTGGTATTACAATAAAAAACGTAGATATTCAAGAAACACGTTTAGAGCGTTTAGAGCCATTTAATTCCTAAAGCGAGTTTTTAAGGGGTTCAAATGTTACCGAGTTATAACTGATGACATATCTGGCAAATTTTCGAGCCAGGAAAAGAAAGCTGATATAGGACAGTGCATCATAAATTTAGTGAGGTTTTTTCGCACAATAGGGATTATTATAATAGGGATTACTATAATAGGGAGGGTTTCAATTTAAAGGTTGGCTTTGCGCCTATTCGTTAACACCGGTAGGAATGCAGCCATCGCATTAAAAATAATCATTTGGCAGAAAACCGAAATTTTGAATGGAGTTAGAAAGAACTTTTCGAATATTCCTAATGGAATGAGCGTAGAAGCGCTACACCCCCGAGTACTGCAGTGGTTCATCAGTAACCCTTTCTGTTCGCACTCACCTCCTTCGCACTACTCTGGTGTCCCTGGCCACATGCGAGATATGATCATTGTGCTGACGTAATAAACACGTTTCTAAATCTACTTTGTAGGTCTCCGAATACGTTGGATTATGGACGTATTTCTTGGTCTACTTTTGGCGTATCTCAGCATATCAGTTGTACAGAATCTATTCTCATCAAGACAAATAATGAACACATCTTTTGATTCTCTTCGTATTGTTAACACTTATGGTGCTTTTGGAAGGTAAGCATCGCATGAAGAGAAAATGATGTGAAACTTGGCTGTCACTTGAATTCTGAAACCAACTTTTCGTCGTCTAAAAACCAAATTCTTCTCATATACATAGCCATCGGCGAGTTTTCATCCGTGTGTTCTACGCAGAATATTGAAAGTGGAATCATGCATTCTATCACTTCTTAAAACTAGAGCCAGAGCTAGAGCCTTATTTTTGTGTCACAAAAGGAATTTTTAAATTGCACGAGTTTAGATTGGGGCCTCGTTCTCATGAAACGTGAGCCAATAGCCTTGTATTTTTAACATTGAAAACGAGGCGCTTACGTCAAATACGTATACTTGAAGTTCATATTTTTATGAGGTCTATTCTAGTGATCCTGTGTGGAGTGACCTACTGTTGAATCATTGGTTGTGTATATGTAGTTTGCAACGCCGACCGTCTTGATGGAATCGCTTTTGTTGCATTATGAAATACATTACTGTATTTTTTATCACCCCAATAAGGATGATAATCATACTTAGCGGTTACAAAATAACTAAGAGGAAATTAATTAAAACTAATCTTTATAGAAAATTTTAAACCCAACCAAGATGACGCCCAATGATGACGTCATATGTCAAAGAAGAATATCGATTGAGATCATGAAAATCATCGATATAGGAAATGTCTCATCATGCACTTCGTTTATTATCCATTTCCTAGTATTACTAAAGAAAGAACAGAAATCATCATTCAAGGAACAAGAAATAAGACAAGTTATGGCGACAATGTTGTATGGGAGGAATATGAGTTCAAATGTAAACCTGGAAATGTGAGAAAACGTCCATGTGTTATATCACCGTATCATTATCGTCTTGACTGGTTGATGTGGTTTGCTGCGTTTCAGGTAAAGTACGTCCAGAGCTATTGCAATTGTGACGATTTAATTATTATAACAAGCAACCGTTCGTTTTGCAATTCCCGAAGAAAGATCACTTCCTTAAACTTTCACTTCGCAAAGAAAATCTTGAACACCTCTTGTTTCTGCACCTATTGTGAACGCCCTACTTACTGTACCAAGAGCATGCAGAGCACATGATGACTATATCGATAAAAAGACCTGTTATTTTTTCAGAATTACCAAAACAATCCATGGCTTATTCACCTTTCCGCCAAGCTTCTTGTAAATGATCCTGATGCTACTTCACTAATTTCACACAACCCATTTAAAAATGGTCCTCCACCAAGGTATTTTTCTTCATGTTTATGTGTTAGTATATAATGATTTCTTCAAAAAAAGATTGTACGTATGAAATATATATATATATATATATATATATATATATATATATATATATTACATTTCTGTAATTTTAGCGCGCAATCCAGCTCTTAGCTGCGACTTTCTTTCCAATAATCCGTCAATCTATCTACTTATCTAATATTTTTTTTCTGTTTCCCCTTAAAGATATATCCGTGCGGAACATTATCTTTATGAGTTCACAAAGTTTGGCAGTCCAGAAGCCCGTGACGGCAAATGGTGGTCAAGACGAAAGATTGCAACATACTTTCATCCGTTTTCCATGAAAGACATAAAGGACTATTTACGAAACCAGGGTTGGAAAATCCCACGAATCTAACCTCTAATTTATTTGCTCTTAATGAAGTTAGTATTACCAGCTAGAGAAGACATCTCCCAAAACCATGGAACTCTGTTCGCGCTATATGCACTTTTTTGGAAAGATAAGAAATGTTACTAGTTACAACATAATGGACCTTTTGCATAATAGAGCAATTTATGATTTAGGTAACAAGAAGGAAATAAAGCACCACAACTAAAAAGAGCATGCAAAATGTCGCGTAGTACGGAAAATAACATGGTAATGCGAAGTTAGCAATTTTGTATACTTAACGCTTAATTTTACTAATTTTAGTATGCTCTTTTCGGAAATTCCCTTTTTGTCCCCTAAAGCAAAAGGTGGTCTATTATGCAAAAGTCAGTTAAAAATAAAACAAGGTTTCATTTGAAAAAAGGAATTCTGTTTTGTATCGATACTAATAGTAGAAGTAAAATTAATGTAATCTTTCAAGGTTTGATGCCTGTCATCTTTGATGATATTTCGCCCACCAACCAAGCGGAGAAATGGCTAGTTGAGCTCGCTTGAAGGGCTTTAGGATGTTGGTTTCCTCCTTTTCATCTTTATAAAAATTTACATGCAGTGCAAATTTCCGCTACCAAATCAAACGGTAACCAGACTCTAACGCCTGCAGTCCTTATAAACCACGTTGCAATTATCGGCGCGGGGCATTGCCGGTGACCACTGACTATCATGGATTTATCTGAATATATTGTATTCTGAATTTTCCTCTTTATTCGCCCCGACAATTCATCGCAAGCGATAAAAAAGAACCAGGGCATATTTCTTTTAAGCGCCCAAAATGGTCAAATTCATATTTTGAATTCAGAAAAATTGAATATTTCGTTAGGAATATACGATGAAACTGCACCTTCCGTGCTGGCAAATGTAATTGTTTCTACTGAAATTCATCAGGACAGGTCTGGCCGCGTTTTTACCGCATGAAGGAAAGCGCACTATTCCTAGACTGAAATGAATCCCGGCTGCTAACATGTGGAAATGGAAAAAGGAACCGGCTTTGCAACAGAGGAGCGATGGAGCAAATTGAGGCTCCGCGGTAAAGTAAACATCCTTTGTTTCCCCCGGTTATGACTAGCGACGCACCATTATACATCTAGAACTTAAACGGTACCCTTGGGTTCATTTCTACATACGAATTTCTTGTGAATACGCCTGTTTACTGAAACTAAATTTCATACGAATTTCTTGAGAATATACGCCTGTACTCAGTGCACTGGAACCAAAAATGTCAACAAATGCGCTTTTTAGGTGAAAATGAATTTCTCCGTTGCTGTCCAAAAAGAATTCCTAAATGGTTTACATTTTTCATCAAGTTCTCCGTGAACGTGACTCTATTGATGGTTGTTGTCTTCTCGAGTCAGTCCGAGATGCCATTCGCCGAAACAAATTCTTGAATGCTTCTCTGTATGTTTGGTCAAGGCAGGCGTAAATAATTGGATTGCACATGCTGTTAAATAATGGCAGTGTGGCTGCGGCGAATTCAATTATGTTAACCCGATACCTGCTGTAGCCAAGTGAATTGGTATTCATATCTTCAACTACTTTTGGGTAGTAAAACCTCAGAAAACTCCAACAAAACCAAGGACCCCAAGAAAATATGAAAACTCCAACGACGACCAACAGCATTTTGATCACTTTCATATCTCGACGTAATGCACGTCGTTGACTTTGGACAGTGAATGTTTGACCCAGACTCCCGTTCAAAATCATCTTTTGTCGTTTATGGGCGACAAGGAAAATAAGGAAGTACATAATAAGTATGACAGTCACGGGTAGAAAAAATGTGCTAACCATAATAAAGGCGTAAAATGGTTTCACTTTATTTTCGTCCGTGTGAATAGGACAACGTCCGCCTCCAGTTTTCAAAATTCCCAAACTCCCTGAATTCGGGGTAGCCGAGTATATGGCGAGAGATGTTGAAATAAAAAGAATAATTATTATTATTTTTCGAGTTCTGGAGGTTGTCATTCGTGATTTGTATTGAAGAGGTTTGCTGATTTTCAGATATCGGTCGAAACTGATCATGGTCAGTATGTAAATGGATGTTGCTAACGCGAAAGTGTCTAACCAAATCATAAAACGGCAAAGATAATCCACTGACATTGTACGTTGCGAATTATCCATATCAAGCTTATACAGCTTAAGTGGTACTAAAAGTGAACCAACCAGAAGATCAGCGACAGCCAGGCAGGCGATAAAATATTTATTTGGTTGATGCAGACTTCTTTCTCTGTAGGTCGCGACCAAAACAAAAATATTTCCCAGAATTGTGATGATAGTTATGAAGGTAAGTGGAATTTTTGCGTACGAAAGAAGCCTACCCATAGTTGTTGTCAATTTTTCCAACTCACTGTCCGTAATCCAAGGCGTCCCTGTTTCATTTACAATTTGAGTAGCGTTGGTATGGTTTACCTGTAACGTCATGGCGAAACTTGAATCTAAAAAATCGAATGCAAAGTCATTTTGTGGAAACAGTGGCGTAACTAGCACGATAATTATTGGGGGGGGGTCTACAGGGTGTATCAAAAAAAACGCAACCACTTAATATTCATGAATATCCTCTTTGTTCTACAACACAAAAGACGTTTGGCCCCTGGAATGCAAGAAAGCTTGTAATCATATTCTAGCGGCACAATCGTCGGTAAACAAAGTCGGGTTCGTAAACCAACGAGCTGAATTGAAAGTATTTAACGAGTAAAATTCTACTTACAACTTATTTTATAAGGTTGACAATAAAAACTCGTTGTTCGGTTGTTAGCTGCACCATTATTAGTTAACTGATTTGACTATTAGCAGTTAAACTGTACGATTAGAAGCCATTTTAAAATCCCAGGGGCATAAAATCTATTGAGCTTATAAACAATATGAATTTTAGAATATTAAGTGGGTGCGTTTTTTTTTAGACACCCTGTATATTTATATAATCATTTTATGCATGATTAATTTCTTTTTAAATCGATTGTCTTTGCAGACTTACAATGTGTTAACATGAATATATGAATATGGGCCGTTACGTGGAAAAGTCATTATTCATTATAAATTGATAAGATAGTATGCGGTACCCGCATTGACCGGGCTGCCTGATACAAGTTAAAAACTTGGGATTATTTATTATCTAGAACATGATCTGTTACACTAAGTCTCCAATGAATGTTAGCTCAGCCGGGTAATCATGCATTCCCAATAACACGTATCACAATTTAATTCTGTCGATCGACTTGCTCTTTAAACATTAATAGTGACGATAAAATTGCAAACATTTTAAACGAAAATGTTTTAACAAGTGCATGACTGTATTTCACAGCGTTTTTTAATTAGTTATGTAACTGCAAGGGCGTTTATCTCAGTAGGTCCTATACTTGCCCCAGAGATCAGTTGTATCCTCGATTCTCTTGAAGAATATATGGACCCTTTTATCACTATAGCTGTGAAGAATTGCGTTTGTGGGAACAAATTAGCCTCATCCGCAGGCATTTCCTCCGTATTTATATTAGATATATTTTTTCATGCCGCCTAATAGTTAACCTGCACCGTAGAACGAGAACGAACGAGTAGCCTCATTAACTGAACGAGAGTACGGTTCACAATCGTTCAAATAGATGGTTTCTATTGGCTAAAACAAGTTTATTATCATATTTGTTTGTAAACTTTAAGCCATAGCATGCATATTTTGGTCAGGTAATTTTGTGTTGTGATATCGTCTATATTATACGGTTACAACAGGGGGCATGCAACAAGATGACGATGATTGATGAACTGTAATGGTAACATCCCAAACTGAGGAATAACTAAGTTGAATAATATTATATATAGAACCCTGAGTATTTTACCGAAGTCGTCGATTCGTAAACTCAATTGAATTTTATAGTTACAGGTCGTGTTAAGTAGCCTCAATGCAATTATTAGTTGACCTGCATCTAAGAACGAAAGGGGACTTATAGGCTCATTAATATCATTACCAAGACGTAAGCCTAAGCAAAACCGCTGCTTCCTACTGGTTGCTGCTTTTAAATTTGCATGTTTAGGGAAAATGCATGTGTGTTATTGGTTGTGACGAAAGGGGACGAAATCCTAAATAATTCAATGTCGATATATGCATGTCTTTTGTACGGATCAAGTCAAAACGGGTCTTTCAAACTGATAGCTAGATAAATGCATTTATATGGTAGGGAAGAAATACGCAAATATTTATCTTGGCAAGATTGGAATAGAAGATGCGTTCCCCTTACGCTCTTTTCAGATAGATATAGAATGTAGTGTGAATGAATGACCTCGTAAATGTATAATATATAGAGTTTATTAGTCGATGTTTTACAGACCTCGATCAATAATCTGGTCACAGCCACAAGGGAGAAAGCACATACCGCAAATCAGGAGTATTCTTTAGATCAATAATTTACTGAATTTCATCTATGAAAATCAGTGGCGTAGCCAGACTGGCGATTTAGTCCTGCTATGGAAATTTTATTAACATTATTCATTTCTTTAGAAATTCATTGTTTTCACTGTCAACACCAAAATATCAGCATAATGGGACTAAATTGTCAGGCTGACTACGCCACGAATTAAAATCATTTGCATTTAAGAATTGCTTCACTGCCCATACAACAAACAACAAGTGTGAAAGTGACCATGGAGAACGAAATTGTTGATTTAAATGTCCTATATGTGAACTTAAACAATATATTTCAAGTTTTGTTTACCATCTACATACCTACCGCTACTTTACCGCTTTTTAATGTTCGTATATTGTGTTATGAATATTGTGTTCGGTATGATGAAAGACTGTATAGCTATCCAAATGACAAATGTCATTGCATAATACTGTTCATATTAAAAGTCCCAAAGGCATAATAACGATGGAATATTTGTTGACTAGCTGGCAATAATACAGGGTGTATCAAAAAAAAGGAGACCTTTAGAAATCAAGCTATTGTTAAAATTTGAATGCTTTTTCAATTGCATTTGCAAATATGCTAAACCGTAGTGCGTGAAATATTGATGGCATGTATGCATACATTAGAAAAAGGAGAC